ACGACTCAAATCACTTTTAACGTGTCGGCAAATATAACGATATCGTAGACAACGGCTTGTTATGTAATTTTATTTTTTAAGTTGTTTTTTTTTTAAACAACTATGGTCGCAGGAATCACTCTGTCACAATAAACCTTACATTAACTAACTCCTGTTTTCAAATTTTATAAATATCTTCTATTTTCCAATATAATATATACATATATTAATAATCTAATATATAAAAATTAAAAATCAATTGCTGTTCGTTTATCTCGCTAATATGATTTAGCTGGTTTTGGTTTTGAAATGTTTGCCGTTATCCAGGGAAGGTTTGAAGGTGATACGAAGTAAATCTTGTTTAATATATTAAACTTTATAACAGTTAGGCCGATTTACCCGATTTTGTTTCTTAAATGTTTTCGTAGTACACCGGGTCATCAAATTAGCAATATTTCGACCTTCCACGGTTTATATTTATAGGGCCGATGCGTTATTAGTCGGTTGCGGGACAATTATGACACCTATAAAATTCAACCTTGCACACTCGACGGATGATCCGTCGCGTACTAACGTACAATTCCGTGAAACGCTTGACGTATCTTCTGTGAGTAATTGCAGCCGCTTTCCAAGAATTCCGGATATAAAATGTCATTAAAATCACTAAGATTATATTCTAATTAAAAGATAAGTAAAGTCGACTACTGATTTGATGAAATAAAATACGTTAATATATTGGGATACTTAGTGTGCATCCTCTTAATATATAAATATTTTAAGGGCTGTGATTATTGTGTAAAATAGTGAATTTTAGCGTTCGATTTACAGACTAAAATCATAAATGTGTTATATAATTTTAAGTTATTAAATAGTGCAGAATAACTATTGGCATAGTTCGTAGCATTAAACACACGTACATAACATTTTCATAAACACGAGATGGCACTTATTTGAGCTCCTGAGTTGAGCTAACTGGTCTAAACAAATCAATTTAAAAAATTGAATATAAGATATACCTATCTTATTTAGTCTTATAGTTCCTAGCGGCTTCGGAAATTTAAATATCATTGACCAGATATAGCTTCAAGTAACTGTAAATTTCTCTTATCTACGACAATATTAGTGAACAAAATTTATATCATAATAATTATTACTTGGTAAGGAATAAATATTTCATAATTTTCATGCACAAATTAATTACCCTAGTAAAATAAAAAAGGTAACCATAACTTCAAAATACGATATACCGGCCGTCCAAGCTCTGTTTGTTCGGCCCTGTAGCGAGGTTGTTTGTATAGTAACAGGCTTCTTCAAAAACTATTTTTTAATAGAACCCGACTTAAAGTATTATTATCTCAAAAGTAAAAAATTCAAGAAAATGCTATTAAAATCGAGCGGAGGCTTTCTGTGGGTTATTCATTAAATGACTTCTATTTTTTGAAAAAAGTTTTTATTTCATTCATCAGTGATATTGATATTTTTTTATAATAGGATACACTTAAAATATTAAATATCTATATAAATAAAAATATTCAACATAGAGATAGTCTTAGAAAATGAGGTTTTGTTTATTTGCTCGACATAATGTTTTCCAATAATCTATACTCATATTATAAAGATAAAAAAATTATTGCTTATTTGTTTGCATTGGATAGGCTACACAACTGTTGGACCGATTTATAAGTCTTCAACGGGAAGCTACATAATACGCGGCCCCCCGCGTAACATAGGCTGTAATTTAAGAATGCGAAATCGCGGCTACACAACTAATTTGATAGAAATTGGTTCACAATTGAAGAAGAAATCGATGAACATACCTACATCCATCAAAAATATATAATATACTCTTTGAATATAGGAAATCCTCCTTTCATATTTGGAATGAATTTAAAATACGCAATCTTTTGTTTTTAGCTAAAATATGTATTTAGGTGATATCTAGTGAAAAGCGTATTTTGTTTTATTATAAAATTAAAACTCCTGTACCGATTTCGATAAAAATTAAATGGAACCACCTCTGTCCATCAAGCTGTCGAATAAAAAAAGAACTTTGAAAATAGGTAAAAAAATGTTGTAAATGTCAGTAAACATACATAAAACAAACACATCGCCTTCGAACATATACCCTCCACCATTTAGATTTTGAAGTCTGTTAAAATGTACATAAAACTTCTTATAAGTTATTATCCAAGAAAGAAATTTAAGAGGTCAGCCATTTGAGACACAAGAAGGGGTTATCAAAGAATATGGCTCTTGTACAACCTCCTTAACCGAACGATTCACACGCCGGTTTATAAGAGTCGTCACCATGAGATCCTAGAATCGATTCCCGGTCGGATCAATGTAGAAAATGATCTTCTCTATTTTGTATCGTGTCTGGGTATTGTAGCATTCTCTCGGATACTCCATAATACGAGGGTTTTACTCATCTTGAAATCCGAGCAATGTATGTGATTTTGTTTAATATTTAAATAAAAAACCGGTGACACCCAAAAACGGAATTACTACATACTTCATGATTATGCTATCATTAATGAAATTTCTAACATTAAAATGATTTTCTCTTTATAAAGTTATTCCTGTCAAGGTACTTATTAAGCTCTTGAACACTGATGTGATAGTAAACGACGCAGATAAAGTTGAATACCCAGGAGAATATACGGATATGTGTACCTGTATACCGCATGTATTGAACCAGATCCTGGAGCCTACATTGTATATTGAATGTTCTACGAAATCTATACGTGTATGGAACAAGTCGTTTTGATACTTGTACGATTTTTTTTTTGTACGTGTATTCGAAAAATTGCAATTTAAAATACCGCACTACTTTGAAAGCCTCATGATCCAAAGGATGGGAACATGATAGTTATTTATGAATATGATATTAATTTATTTTTCAAGTAATTTAAACAAAAGCAAATCTATTTTAACTCAAAGAAAATCATTCAATAAAGTATTCAGCAATGGAACTATCATTATATCCGAAGACTTCTATATTACTTGTGATGTGATATACCTCAAAAATATGCGTATTTTTACTTATTTCCTATTGCCAGATTGATATTTACTTTTAAATAGGACTATGATAACAACCCGAATGCAATTCGGACCCTAAAATGACGGTTTGCTACACTACCCCAATATGATTTAGACCCAATGACTGTTTACTACGTTTCGTTTCTTCTATTACGGAAACAATATTCATTCTTCACTAAACAAAAAAGTGCACACATGCACATCAACGCACATAAACATTTTCATTTTGATATATTTCCGAGTCAAACTATAAATATCTTTGATTTTAATGCATTAATTTTTAAAGTAGTTTCACATTTATCATAAGTTTTAACAGCTGTTATAACCTCAAAACATTATTTAAAAACTACGAATCTCCCTAGTATCTCCCATCACTAATGATGGGTATCCATGATCCACCACGTAGGCCTAGTGCCGATTGGTGGGTTAAAGACTACGATGCACCAACCGACGATTAACACCCATTTCGAAGCACGGGGAAGACCGAGATAATAAATTTTTGGTCACCCATCATAGGATGGGTATAGACAAATCACAGCGAAAATTATTTAACAACGGTATCGCAGACCAAGCGCTCTAGCCACTGTGCCATCGAGCTAGTTCATAATTAATATCCAGTCAGATGACCTCCAGACTGTGAGTAACGATTACATCTTCACATTATTTTCATTGCGAAATCGCAATTACCCTTCACATTCTACTATCAAGATCATCGGTCGTAGTATACAACACTAGATGAATGGCGCGATTAAGTTGAGCAAGTCGGTACAACCTTGATTGGTGGACCGAACGATTGTTGCTGAGCCATCGTTTCTCAAACTGAACTTGATATCTAATTTGTACTAATGTGTAATAATATTTTTGTGTATTAGTGACAAACGCGTTGTGAAATTACAAATTTTTCAAGTATTCAAAAACTAGGGATCCACTATTATGTAATGTATGGATCTTCTTTGAGAGGAATAAAAAACCATGTAGCAATTAATATGTTTCGGGATAAAAAATGTTTGGAATTATCAACCAAACTAAATTGATTGATGATTAGAAGTTTCTAAGTTAATTAACATGGAGTTACTTAGACACTTACCAAATATCTGAAGAAAAAGCGTCAAATTGGATAAAATATAATAATTAGAACAAATTTTCATCTTAATTGAAAGCTTAAAATATTTTTTTCAGCAGGGTGGATTTCCTGAACATTGATGAAAATACGCTCATTGGTAGATCCTGGGTAGCTCAGTGGTTAAAGACCGGATTGTGATAGGTCGCGGGTTCGAGTCCTATCTCAGAGTGCCTGGGACTGGTGGATTTTTTTTTAAGTTATTGGAGATTTTTGCAAGAATACTATATCTGATATCTACTTGAATGTTTTTATATGTAATATTAAAAAATTCAAAAATCGTCATACAAAAAGTTTGAGAACCAATGAGATAAACAATTGTTTCGTTAAATTTCTGAGTATATCGACTACGTACGTACCACTAATCAAGGTTTTTGTGGTCGGAAAACGTAAAGTGAAAATAAGAAATAAGGAGAAGAAACAGAGGAAATTAAAACCACTTTCTCTTTTAACTTTCTCTGAAAACTAAAAAGGCAGAAATAAAATTAGAAAAGTTCTAAATAACAAAATTACAAACCTACACTATAGTCAGTGAATATTTATTAAAAGGTTTCATTATAAGTGATGTCCACAGTATCTGCAAGCGGGCATGAAACGGACGCATAGCATTTCAATTTTACGTGTAGTTTTTTTTTTTATGTCAATTGAATAAATTAATTTCTACATGTAAAATGAAATTAAAATGAATGGAACATGGCTTCGCTCTCCCCGTCATGCGTCCACTGCCTCCGAAAGTTAATAGAAGTACAATTTGATAGTTTTGACATAACGCTGCAAGTAACGCATAGTAGCTCTATGGAACATCCCCTATGTTGACCTTTAATTTTAGATATTACAAATAATCTGAACTATAACGACTTACCGATAGTTATTGCCACCAATACCGTCCAAACGGCATATTCTCTTCTGCTGCTAACCATTCTGTTATCTGAAACAATATACGTTACCTACGTTTATATTAGGACAATAAAAAAATGATTACTATATTTATATTCGTAGCCACAATTACATTGGAGTAGCAATAAACTATTCATGTGTTCATTCTATCTCTCAAATGAAAACAATCTCTAAAAAATCTATGTAGCCCAAAAAAAGTTTTTATTTTTTGCCCTATGCTTCTATGTACGACTAAGCGTCCATATTGCGATTTTATTTCGCACGAATTTACTATCATAATTCAACTTATGGGAATATCGGTACATGAGGAAAAAAATCGCGCGGAAAAAATCACGTGTATTAAACTACAAAATACTGGTCGTGCATCAGAACTGGCGGTGCGCGGTGAAGATGTTACGCGGTTCGTCTGCCGTCTGCTCAGCAGCTGCCGAAACTGACAAATTAATATTGAAATGTTTATAATGCTAATTCAAAACAGGCCTCCTCTATGGAACTAATTTTAGGCAAACTACCATGATACGAAACTGAAAATGAGGTTGTGGGAAGATATATATATTGACATTAATCAAACAAAACAAATTAAAATTGTTCTGTAGTTCATATTTAGGGTTCCGTACCTAAAGGGTAAAACGGGAACCCTATTACTAGGGCTTCGCTGTCTGTCTATCTGTCTGATACCAGGCTGTATCTGATTAACCGTGAAAGTTAGACAGTAGCAATTTTCACGAACACTTAAAACCAGAATACAATAATTATTGTATGTATTGTATACAACAAATGTGATGTTTTTTGCTCGTTTCCGGTAGGGAAACTTACGTGTCCAAGTCTGACTCTCAATTGGGCGATTTTTGGACGTTCGATTAAAAATCGCGTCGTGGACAATCCCTAATGTAATAAAAGAAGTAACATAATTTATCTGCTCTTCAGTTTATTTTTCGACATAAATATAATTTTAAGAACATTATTAAATATCGAAGTCTGAAAAGAGAAACACTAAGTTCCAGACGAGTTCTAATATTCATTTGGGAATATGGGACTTTCTCGGATTTCTCTTGTAACATGAGCAAAGGCGAATGAGTTACATGTTATACGTGTATGTCTCTTTGTTTGCTGAAACTACCGAACGGATCAATATATTATTTTATTTTTAATTTATTTCAGTAACCAACAAGGTCAAACACTGTAAATGCAAATAACTTAATAATAAATAAAAAAGACATTGTGCTGCCTTAATTAAAGGTTACCAATACATGCATATAAAATGTAATCTGGAAGCCCATGGCCCCAACAATTAACTTAATAAAATTAGATGTAATGATAAATAACACACCGATAACACAGTGGATGAACATTTTCTTTACCTCGCTATACTCTCTTTTGTCACTGTTATTCCCACACCTTATTTTACTCACCGTACTTTTTGTCGTCATCTCAATGTAACTGATCACCGTTGTCAATCATAATTAAGGCTCATATCTCGGGAATTAAGTCGTGTATATTTTCGACGTCGAAATTTTGACTTTAAAAAATCCGAAGTTTTGGATACTTTCAAGACCGAAACAAAGTATAATAGGTAATTGTATTTAGATTAACAAAATAAACAAGATTATTTTCTTGTAATAATAAATGGTTACAATATTCGTTAACTTTATTGATTAATTTAAATAATCCTCGTTTGAGATACAGCTTAGGAGGATAACGTTAGGGTCATCCCTTGAAAGGTAATGATTTATCTGACTTTGATTTATTCTACAGTGTTTGCAGTTCTAGCTAGTATAAAACCTAGTATCATCTGGCCTTTTCCAAGAGTATTTGATGATCTTTATTATGATTATATGCCTTGACCTCGGCTTGATTATTATGTCTGTGTCATCCGCCGAATACGTCTAGGAGGTCCGGTCTAGCACTTATTCTTGCAATTAGTCTCTCTCGCTTTCTGTGCCATTCATATTTTTTTGCATAGCAATAAATACTTGTGCTAACCGTTTCCAATTTATTAAAATTAAAAACACGTACAACACGTATATTTATAGTATAACTTTTAAGCCCAATAGTTTCCGAGATCATAATGGGAAATTGATAAATTTTAGTCTATTTTCTTAAATAACCTCAAAGCCATTTAGTTGAAAAATATATTTGAGCTCCTTACAATAAGCCTATTTATTTAATATGACATTCAAAACTCTTCTTGATAACCTTATTTCGCAGCGTGGTGCTTCATGCTCAGATGAATAAAGAAAACCTCTACTTCCCGGTTTGGCACTTATGAGTGTTCTTGTGGAGGTGTGGATTTCGATTTCATGTAAAGAACAAAGGGGGTAAGACTCTGAGTGTGTGGGAACAGAAATTCTGCGAGCAATGCCTCGAGGTGACAGTCCAGACCAACCTCAACAGTAGAGAGAGGGTTAGGGTTGCTTGATAACGAAATCCCTCTCTCCTGCTGGAGCCAAAGCTTGCGGCTGACGACCACCCTTTTTTGAGTGAAGAAGTTTTGAGGAAAGAACTCTTCATTTAAGAGAGTCTTTTCTGAACTACTTTTGCCACCCGAGATGCTCTGTTACTGAGAGTGGATAGCCTGACGACTAAGTTCAGGTTCCCGAGTACAGTCTATTACAATCAAAGGTATGCCCAAAGTTTCTCATGTCCTTTCACTGGCTAGTAGCTCTTAATCTTAAAAAAAATCTTAATCTCTGAATCAATCTATTTACATCGTTACCATCTTCATTCCTGGCACTTAATTCCCGGTAACACCCGTGTAACCTCATTTACTATGTATATGTATAGTTTTCTTGTATATAAAGATCGCAACAAATTTCCGCCAGACACTAAAAACAATTAATATGCTTTCCATGCACAATAACGCTCTGTCCTTGTAACATTTTGTAAGGTATAATTTAGATAAGAAATAATAGACGATGCGACCTCATAAAGAAAAACGTCAAAAACATGCAGGTCCGTGATTGGCCCGTGATATACCTATCTATGTATAACTCAGTTCCGTTGAATGACCTCAGAAGCGAATTCTGCAAATTTCAACGAAATATAGTTTTTATTTTTAAATTTAATAATAATTAAATAAATACGGAACGACACCTTAATGATAGGATAAGTATTCGTATGTATTTCTCAAACAAAATTAATATGTTTTTTATAACCTCGCGAAAAATTTAAAGGTAATGTTTGGAAATATTACATGTGAGTCGCAAAATTCTTGTATTTTGAAATTCTAAAGGTACTTTTGTACAACCCAGACTCAAGACTATAAAAAATGAGAACCTCCAAACCGGAAAATCTATTCTTTCAAAATGGGGCTTGAATTTGCGACCCATACTTATTTAAATAGAAATAGAAATACGCTCTCTTACATTGAAGGCTACTTTTAAATTGGTTTCTAGTACTTAAGCAGTTGTTCGGACAATGAAAGTTCGAAGATTCGAGCTCTGTCAGAAATCAGCAAAGAACTGTTAAATATTTCAAATTGGTTCGAAAAAACATAGTAGGGTCTAATTATTTAACACACCATTCCAAATTATAAATAACTCAGAAGAAAATAAAATATAAATTAATTATTTACAACAACAGACAAATTTAGTAAACAACGATATTGCTTCGAAATCGTTTGAACATTGCAACGCAACTTCGAAATATGGCACCATATCGTTATGTGTGTCAATGACGTTTAATACTTTATGTTGTTTGGTTATACGTGAACTGTGATCAGCTGATCTACTACAGTGAAAGTGATTCATGTAATTGACAGGATGTCTATTATTACCCTTTAAAAAAATTACCACTATCCATTTCGTACAAATATTAAATTTAAGATAGACAATTTTTGAAATTCTTGTAGATTTTCTTGTAATGATCTGAAATTCTCCTTGATGCCGATAACTTTTACCTCAATGAGGATTATTTTAAAAAAGGCATAGTATTCATGTAGTCAAAATGCTTTTTCAAAATTTTAAATTTTTCAGTGTTCGATTAAAGTATGGTGAATTTTCACCTAGCTTCTTGAATATTTTCCAAAATATTTATATTAAAATTATAATATCTGCTTGAGATTCTTACAACAAACCATTTCATTAATTTAAAAGTAGTCGGCCCGTGTTTAATATTTATATTATGTAATACTGCTTTGGCTCGCCGATTTGCATATGTGTACCAATTACAACAGAAATTGTACTGTATGTACTGTATGTACTGTATGTTTATGGAGCAAGTTAACTATAATCAGACTTATAAACAAACAGATATATATTATATTACTCATATTTTTCTAGTATGTACGAAATGGGGTGATTCCTTAAATACTTATTTGCAACAGTCTAAATTTAAATTATTGATATTATTCACATCAATGTCCCCACTGCTGGGGTTCAGGCCTTCCCTATGTATGAAATCAAATGAATTTGAATAGGGAGAATGGGCCAAGACCCATCACGCGAACTTCGGGGTCTTAAGTCCATCGAGACCATCGGCTTAAGATGCCTTCTGAAGCATGGGAAGCTCGACATATAAAAAGTTTTTGGCTATTCATCCTGTAACCGTTCGTTGCGGAAGTTTTTTAACATATTGCAGACGGGGGCGATAACTATATTATTATTTTCAAATTTCGAACAAGCTAGATAGATTGCGATTTCAAACTCATAGACTACATTCGTCTTAACTCTTACTGCACGCTGTAGATGCAACAAAATGCAGTTTCACATTGTAGATTTTAAACAACATACCCAAGGGCCAGTCTTCGTACAATATTTATAAATCTTCCGTACTTAAGAAGACACTCTGACTCCATCTGCGGTCATTGACATCGAACGTCATCACCCGTAGCTGGTTATTGAGAAATTACTAGTACTCCAACATATCATACATTCTTCAGATCCAAAATTAAGTAAGTAGCTAAAGTACTTGTATAATTAAATATGAAATAACAAAAGTATCACAAAACTAGAACTGAGACCTCAGACATAGCGAGACCTTGAATTTGACGTGCGAACCTCAAGCAGTGAACAAATTAATTAACTAATTTTTCATTTTACTTTTCGTACCAATTTTAATGAATCAATTTAAATACAAGCAATTTTCAACCCTCACCTTAATCAAAATGGCAAACAAGAAAAATCAATGTGGAAAATCTCGAATCATCTTCAGCTGATTTACAATGTCAAGTTTAAAATTAATTTAAGGTTCTACGCCGGTACAATAGAAAAGGAAACAATGATTCATTATGTTTCACGCACCATCGCTCTATCCTATCCCCAATGTCTCTAGCAAGGTTGAATCGTCAAGGGCATTTGATATTCATAAAAGAAGCAAAGTAAAACATGCAAACACTGGCAAGAATTAATAAAAAA